GTTCTGTGTCAATTTCTAAGTTGCTTTCTATGTTAACAGTCTACAAATCCTCCAAATACCAGATTACCACATGAGTAGAATGCCAAGGTTTAATTAAGAGATAGTTTTTCTTTGATGATGGAAGAAAAACAGTGTGTGTGGACATGAATACTGAAAGATTTTTAGGTAGAAGGATAAGTTGAAGAGATGTCTTCTATACTTGCTGTGGTCACATCTTTTGCTGGGTCCAGGGCTGAGTGGCTCAGCAGGAGCAATTGTGAGATGGGAGGAAAACCATAAAAATGGGATGAGGTGCTGCGGGGAATTGGAGACTGACCCAAGAACACACTGGAGCCTTTACATTTAGACACATACCTACATGAATAAATTTTGTTTAAATTATCGGCTCTTACATGAAACTGATCTTAGCCCCTTTTGCAATCTCTCCTCTTTTAATTTTGTTTTCTTTTCTTTCTTCTCTCTCTCTCTCTCTCTCTCTTTCCTTCTGTGACAGGGTCTTTCTGTGTAGTTCAGCCTGGGCTTTAACCCACTTTGATACTCCTAAATCAGTCTCCTGAGTGCTGGGATTGCAGCCATGTGCCATCATGCTCAGGTGTATTCTATTTATAATAGTTAAATTTATAATAGCAGATACGCCTGATAAACTGTCAAGATTGTTACACTGAATAATCTTCATCTTAAAGATGACACTATTGGTTTCTGTTACCATAGGACAGGATTGATATTTTAAGTGTCTGGGTAAAAGTGTAACACCAATTGTGCATTTAGTTGAAGGTTTTTTAATGATGTGTATTGTTTATGCTTCTTACAGTCCTATTTAAATCTAAATGTTGACACTGATGGTTGCTTTTATCAACTTTACCCTTTCATTTTATAGTTAGAGTTAGGGTTTCTTATTTAAAACTCAGCATCTCTTATTATTTTATAAATTCAAAAAAATCAGACCAATAAATATTCATCATGCAAACATAAGGAGGAAGCTATATGTACAGAAATATACACAGTCTTTTCTCTAGGGATACAAGCGATGGCCTACCACAAACCATCTTCGTCTCTTCTCTTTGCAAATGAAAGTAAAAATTAGTAGCAAATCAAAACTAAGAGATTAAGTGGATAGGAGGATGGATGTGGGTAGGGAGATAGTGTTCAAAATTTCAGGTAGACATGAGGAATATCTCCTGGTGGTCTGTTATACAACATGGTGACTATTGTTAATACTTCCATATTGTACATTTTAAAATAACGAAAAGAATGGATTTAAAATCTTCTCAACACATACACCCACAGTGTATGTGTTAAGGTGATAGATATGTTAATTCCCCATTTTACAATTCCACAAGGTATACATGTATGGAAAAAGCACAACATACTCCATAAAGATACACAGTGAAATCTTGGTTTGTGGGCATCTCATTCCAGCAACATGCCTGTAATCCAAACCACTTGTATATCAAAGCAAATTTCTCTATAAGAAATAATGGAAACTCAGATAACTGGTTCTACACCCCAATGAAAAATGATATAAAAATGATAACACTTTAATATAACACAAAACAATAAGCAGAATATAAAATATGAGGAAAACTTTAAAAATGAACTCACATTTACTTTTGAAAACTTTTGTGGCTGGAGTAAGGAAGAAAAGGAGAGGTTTATTGTGTATGACAACTTTCACTATCACCAATTGAATAACTGTTATTAGCTCAATAGAGTCTTTTTCTTCTTTTGCAGAAGAGATCTCCATCATAATCTCTTGCTACTGCTCACGATGCAGATCCATCAATTTGTCAGCGGTTAGCTCCTGGTCATGTTTCTTCAGCAGCTTTATTTTATTTTATTTTATTTTTTTGTCTTTTTCTTTTTTATCGGTACCAGGGATCAAACTCATGACCACACACATGCAAGGCAGGCACTTATGCCACTGAGCTAACCCTCCAGCCCCTCTTCAGCAGCTCTTGAATGTTATCCTCATCCAGACCCATCTTCTTCCTCAAGGACACAATTTCATCAACAAATGGTGGTTCCTTTTGTTGAGCAAGAGCCTCTAAAGTTATGTCCAAGGATGCAGTCAGGGCAGTTTTTCCAAGCAGAACTGAAAATTCTCTTGTGACCACACCCCTGGCTCTAGTGAAGAGCTTGAGCAAGTGATATTTTTAAAACTCTAGGAAAATAAGGTTTGCTCCGTCATCTTTAAGTATCACTGACAAGGTGCATTGGTGTAAAAATTTTTAAAGTTTGAAATGACCTGGAGTGGAGTGATGCTGGGACGAAGGAACTTGACCTTAATGAACTTGAATTCCTCTAGTAAGTCTACTTACAATACAAGGGAGGAAAAGAGACTTGCTCTCCCCCACCTTTTTACTCTTGCTGCTTTTTCTGTCTTCTGCCACCTTGCACTGTTGACCCTGTGCCATGCTACTCTACCTTGGAACCAGCTGATCATGGACTGAAACCTCCACAAACTGTGAATTAAATAAACCTCTCAGCAATGAAACAAAAGGAACCAAGCTAGAAAGAGAAAACCATTGGTTCAGTTTGATCATGTGACATTTGGTGTCATGAATCACTTGTAGTGGGAAACACTGATTTTTTTTTTTTTAATTTTTTGGTACTGGATCGAACTCACAACCTTATGCTTGCCAGGCACATACCTAGACACTGCTTGTTTATCCTATTTTTTGGAAATGTTTGCTTGTCTTAGAGAACACTTGCAGAACAAATCACTTGCAACCCAAGGTTTTACTGTAGTTCATATGTCAATTAAAAGTAAAAAATTAAATCAGTTAGGGAATAAGTACACTAAAAGATAGCCGGCCGTGGTGGCTCACACCTGTAATCCCAGCACTTGGGAGGCTGAGGTGGGTGCGAGTTCGAGACCAGCCTGGGCTACAAAGTGAGCTCAAGGCCAGCCTGAACTGCATAGCGAGGAGACCCGTCTCAAAAAAGACAAAAATAAGTAAATAAATAAATAAATTTTAAAAATACACTAAAAGATTTGGTATTAGTTTGGTTGAAACTAAAATGTTGAAACTCTACCTTTGTTGAAACTAAAAGCTGAATTATCAATTTAAAGATTACAATTTTTTGACAGTGCTCTTTTTACTCTTTGAAAAGGAACATTCTCAAAAAGAAAAAAAAAATAAACATGTTAAAAAAATATAAAACACACAGAAGAATGTTGCACCAGACAGATTTATCAGGAGTTACTATTAGAGATAGGATTTTCAAAGGTGAATCCTACAGATTACACAAGAAAACTACGTTCTTGTGGGGTGTGGTCGGGCACTCTTGTAATCCCAGCACTCAGGAAGCTGAGGTACGAGGATCCTTGCAATTTAGAAACCAGCCTGGACTACAAAGTGAGCCCAAGGCCAACCTGAACTGCATAAGGAGACCGTGTCTCAGCAAAAAAAAAGAAAAGAAAAGAAAAAGAAGAAAGGAAGGAAAGTACATCTTGGCCTCACAGTGCTTGTTGATCTGTTTATATTAATGTAATTCTTTCAGCATTAATTTTCATTGGTTCCTTGTTCTTTAAAATACACTATTTGCTCTGGTAGTAACAGGGAAAGGCTCCTTTTTCCTAAGAATTTTGTTCATCAGTATAAAATATTTCAGCTCTTTCAAATTACTACTTCCTAAGATATTTCATTGCAGTCATTAAAATTTCAAACCTCCCGGTCAAAAACATCCTGTGAAACTCTGAAGACTGCAAAAGAGGTTGTCATTCACATGTTCCTTCAGTTTAGGTACTCGGCAATAGCACCAATGTGAATGACACTATCCCAATTTTCAGAGAAAGGAACTAAGCAGATTCAACAGGATGCACAGGATGAGAGTGTCCTGAAGTCACGTTGGGAGTAGGTATGGGCAGCAGGGAACTGACCAGTCCGGGGCAAAGCGGCAGGGGCTTGGTCAGTAGCCGGCGAGGCCTGCAAAGCACAGAGGACAAACCCGGGCCAGGGGTCGCGTGGTGCGCGAGCGCGGAAAGCGAGGAAGGCTCGCACCAGAAAGGGCGCGCAGGGAGACCCGCCGCCTGGAGACGGAGTAGGGGCGGAGCGCTCCCTACTGCGGGCTCGGGACGGCCCACCGGGAGAGGTGGACGCAGAGGGCGGGCACAGAAGTCAGGGGCTTCCTGAAAGTGCCCCAAGAGAAATGATACGGTCAAACAGCCAGTTCCTTTGAAAACCACAAAGAAGTCTGCGAAGCCTCGCTCGGGCAGTCGTCGACAATGACACACGTTTTATATCGCAGACCCGGTCAAAAATCATCCCTAACTACAAAGTGGTGGGATTTATATTAATCACCAGCAGGTTCAATTTTCTTGGTCCGAGATTGTGCCCGGGATCAGCCCTTGAGCTGCATGAGTCGAGGCCCCGTCCCGTGAGTGCCAGGAGCCCAGCCAGGTGGGCTCACACGCTGCGGATGCCACGCCCTGCCCGCAAAATGCACCAAGGCCAAGCTTTCAACGGTACAGACACGCTTTCAACGCCACCCTACAACAGAGATGGAGCGGATAGCGTGTAGGCCGCATGTACAGCCTTCAGGAGCCTTTTTCATAACAGTCCCGCGCTGCAGTCCGCCCGGCCGCCGGAGGAGCACCCTAAGTGCCTAGGCCGCGCAGGCGCACAGCGCGCAGTGGGCGGGGCGAGCGGTCCTCTTCATCCGCCGCCACTCAGACCGGCCCTTCCTCCCGCTGCCCGGCGCACGACGTCGCCCGCCCTCCACGCTCTCCTTCGCTGCGATGGTTTGCCGGCGCCCCCCTGCGGTCCTGGGGCGCACTGCGTACGTGCGCGCAGGACCCGCGAGAGGGAGGAGGCCGGCGGTGTGGCGGGCTCTGTAGGGGCTGTGGTCCTCGTCGTCGTCGTCACCGTAGCGCGCCGACCTGTGGCGGCGCGGCTGAGCGGGCCGAGAGGGGGTGGCGCGCGGAGGGCGGGCGGCGGGGAGGAGGCCTGACGAGGCGGGGGAAGGGGAGCCGCGGTGGCGCGAGCGGCGCGGAGCAGCGCAGTTTGCCTCGGCTCCCTGTCGGCCGTCTGCTCCAGCCCGGCCTGCTCCGCTGCGCCCCCAAGCACTCTGATCGGACGGGGGAGTCCATGTTGGGGAACTTGGCGGCGGAGTGACGGAACCCGAGCTTCCTGCGGTGGGGCCGCGGCCGCCGGAGCGAGCGCCTCGACCTCGGCCTGAGGTAAACACGGGCCGTCCCCGGGTGAGGTGGGTGGGTGCGAGCGGCTGCCTGGCGAGCTGTGGGCCCGGGCCCGGCGCCGAGCTGGGGAGCGGGCCCCGCGGCCGCAGGCCCGACAAAGTTTGGGAATCTCGCGCGGCCTAGGCGGCGTCCTGCGCGGTGGGAAAGTTGGAGCCGCCTCTCGAGGCTGGGGAGACTGCAGTCCGGGGCCTGTGCGTTCGCGAGGGAGGCCCGCACCGCGCGGCCGCCGCCGTCGGTTGTCGCACCCCGACACATTTCCTCTCTGTGGCCTACGCGGCTTGGACCGGGGGAGCCCATCCCATCGGAGAGGGGTCCGGGGGGGCGAGGGCTCTCCTCTGGAACGGCCAGACACCCCCTTTGCGACCGGGCCGACCCCGGTGTCTGCCTTACTGGGGAGACTGCTTTTGTCACCAGCGTCCAAATCCGCTTGTGAAACCAAACTTTACTACGCTGTGACCTCTGGAGTGTGCGAGTAGGGAACATCCGGAGCTTCTAAACATCAGCCTTTTACCCCGTGCCCTGAACTTCAAACTACTCCGCCCCTCCCCCCACTTCATTTTTTAAAACCTGCTTCCCGGACTGACAACTAAAAGGCCAGGAGGTCCAGACTTCATCAGTCGCCTCTTTCTTCTGTAAGAGATTTCTTACAGATTTATCTGGCAGTCTTGCCAACTACAGGTTTTATGAAAACTTGTTTTAAAAGATACTTAGTTTAGAGAATTTGATTGAAACATTAAGATACAAGTCTTGAATTTGAAAAATGCACCCCAGTATGTTTGTATGGTTACGGTATTCCAGTGTCTGCCAGTGGAGCGTTATTCATTTTGTATTACATTGTAACATCTTTGAACTACCAGTGAACTAAGATACTTAAGCAAAACTGATGAAGATAATTTTAAAGGAACTTTTTGGCTAGTGGATGCTAATCTGTATACACCAGTTTGGGAATTTCTTGTGAATTTTAGAAAAGTATATCAATAAGTGCATTTTCTCGTTTTAAACGTTTTAACTTGTGTATTGACTACTTGCCACAGCTGCGGAATATTGAAGGCAAGGCTTTTTCCCCCCCTTATGGTGGGATTGAACCTAAGACCTGAGCATGCTACTACCACTGAGCTACTTACTTTCCTATCCTTGAAATACATTCTTAAATAACTTAATTTTTCTCTTTTATTAACAATTGTATTTAAATTTCAATTTGTAATCTAGTCTCTTCCCAGAGCCTTGCTTTCTTTTTTCTGCCTTTTCAGACTTGGCTTAATCATTTTACTTTTTTTTTTCTATTGATTAAAGCCGTATGAAAACTTTGCAGGCCTTGTGTTTTTGTTGTTTTAACTAGGCAAAAGAATTGAAATTTTTAAAGTCTTTTTTTAAATACTGTATCCAAGTATTGTGTTTTAAAATAACTGCAATTATTGCTGCTACACTTAAACTATATAGTTTTTGGTGCTTGCAAATACATTAACTGTCACTTTCATATTCTACTTTTTTGTCTGAGAATTTTGAGTACATTCTAAGATTTCAGCGGGATAAAATTTGAATGTTTGCTTTCTGTGATTGTACTCATGCTGTAAAGGGGAAATATGTCAAAGGGGAAGACTAATGTTATGCTCTTTGGAACGGTATCATGGAAGAAATTTTAAGAATTTTTTTTTTTTTTTTTTTTTTTTTTGTACCAAGGATCAACTCATGACCTCATGCTTGCCAGGCAGGTGCTGTGCCACTTAGCTATATTCCTGGCCTTTTTTTTTTTTTTACCTGTAGTATCTTCATATGATGATGGGATTCATAGTTTTAAGATCCAAACATCAAGAATTATTAATCTTCAGGAAATTTTCTTGAAAACCTGTGCTGTTAATCTGTAAACGTAGGCTGAATCAGAGTGTTACACAATGTTGTTGATTCCTCATCCATAGTCTGTTTAGTAATAAGAAAGTTACACTACCCATCAGCTTAATACTGTACATTTTTAGGTGCATCAGTGAGAGACAGTCATAAAAGCTTTACTCAAAAGAGTGGAACGCATAAAATAATTAAGTCATAGAATAGCTTTCATTATAACTTTGAATTAGCAAGTTCTTCTAGCATCTGCTCTTTCAGTGATATAAATGAGATCTTGACTTACTTTGCCCGGTGAAAGGAATAAAGTTAAAAAACACAAAAAAATTGTAATGTCTTAAGCAAAGCCTTGTACCTTGTATTGCTTTTGAACTGTGGGCCTAGAGCTAAAATATCCCAGTATCTTTATATTCCCAAAACTTAACCTTTGCATTTGTTAAAAATTGTGGCACATAATTCAGTATGAAATGTGAAAACTCGCTTGCAAAATATCTTCCTAAAAATCACTATGACCTTTGCTAACACTTCAGTTGCCAGTGATCCTTAGAAAATCATGTCACTTCTCAAATGGCTTTCTTTCCTAATTGCACTAAAAGGATAGACCTTATTTAGGCTTTAGTACTCCTTGCCGACTCCACCTCCTTTTTCTCTAGTCACGTTTCTGCTGTGTCACAGAGATCTTTATGAAACAACAGCCTTCAACCTACATTTCTTACTGTCTTTTAAAAAAAAATTCTTACCCGTTTTATGCCTTTTTTCTTCATAGCATTTTGTCATTTTCCAACATAACTCTATTTAACTTATTAACCTAACCTAAGTTTATTCTGTTGTTGCATTCTAATACAACTTCTTTTGAAAACAGGGTTTGTCATTTTGTCACTTTTATCCCTAAACATAATGTCTTACATGAGGTGGGTACTTACTAAATATTTAATGGGTTAATATGCTTTTAGCTATAAACATTAAAACTAGTAATTGTGGTTTGAAACTTCAGGTAATGTTACATAAACTGTTGAATCAGTATATGTAGATCATACTCAAGAAAAGGGTCTGTATTTTTAAAGGCAGTTTGTGGCCTTGAAATTGTAATTTGTCAAAGTATAGAAAGAACTAAGGATGCTTAGCCAAGAGTAGAGTAGTAAAATATCTTATTATTAAAAATGTCATTTAGAAGCCACATTAGACTTATTTTTGGTAGTTTCAGTAGGTAGAACTAGAATACTGTGACACATTGAAAGAAAGGGAGGCACATCCAAAAAAGGTGGATCTGAAAGATTAGTTAGAAGGCTTTTGACATTATGGAAGGGTTGAGGATTGCTTGAATTAGATTGTGAATTGAGATGGGCTAAGTGTATGAAATTTGAGATTAATAGGTCTCAATTGATGGGTCACAGGTACAGGAGAGAAATTAAAAAATGACTCCAAGTTTATGCAACTGTATTCATGGTCATACCAACTAAGGACCAAGTTCTTTTGGTTTTCACATACTCTGAAGTGTTTTTGGAGGTTTCAAGCAGAGATTCTTTGTAGACAATTAGATATAGGGCTTTAAAATTCAGAATATGGGCTGGGAATAGAAATTTATAGTTAATTGAGACTATTTGTAGTTAATTGAAATTGCATAAGAGAGACAGTGTCTTGGAAAAAAGATATCCTATAGTAGAACCACAGTGACTTCAAACATAAAAAGTTTACTGGAAGAATGTGAGGTCCCAAAGAATATTGTAAACGTCAGAGAAGCAGGGGTGTGCATTGTTACAGAAACGAAAGGAAGATGGGGCTTGTAATCATTAGGAAGAATTAAGGTAGGAACCAACAAATTTTTCTTTGAATGTAACAACAAGGAGCTCTTTGGTGCTCTTATAATTTTTTGGTGTTCTTGTAATTGTATAACCATTATAGTTTTGAAGTACTACAATCAAATAATTATCCATTTTAGAGCAGAGAGCTAGTGTACTATTTACTATGCATTAGCCATTCTAAATATTTTTCATAAATTTTATTTGATTTTTTAGTGGGCTTCCAATGTTTAGATACGTTGATCTATTTTGCAGAAATGAGACAGACTCTAGAGAGGTTAAATAACTTGTTACCAGAGCACTTACTATTATCTCTATAACTGGATCTGTGTAGCTCTTTGGCTTTTATTTGTTGTATTAGTTGGTCTCCCAACTTGTAGGCCATTGCTGTCCAGCAGACAATTTTGCAGTGATGGAAATGCTTGGTATCTGCCCTGCCCAGTGCAATAACTGACAGCAGTGTGACTAGAAGCACTTGAAATATGGCCAGTGCAACTGGATAACTCAATAGTTGTTATCTTATTGGGTGGTTATGATCAGAGGTCATTGAGAATCTCACAAATAATAGTCCTTATATGAGATAAAGACATGTTCATTTGTGAAGAGTACTGCTTTGATTACATGCTAGTTTTAGATGCTGTAAATCAATTTTGTAGGTAACTTAAAAAACAAGCTCAAAGTTTTAGTACAGTTTAAGTACTTTTTTTTTCCCTGAACCATTTGAGACTTAGTTGCAGATGCAATCTTGTCTCTTCAGACAAATACAGAGACAAGAGCTTTCTGTTAAATAATTGATACGGCCATCAAAATCAGGAAATCAGTCTTATTATGTGTTGTGGCTTGGTTTAGATGTCTCCCGCTCCCTGCCCCCAAGTCTCACGCAGTCATAGCTGGGACTTTTTCAGAGGTGGCTGAGTCTAGGGTGATGTTGGGATTGACACAGGGTGCAGTGGTGTATGATCAAGGACACTAGGATTAAGGATGTGAGTGCTACCCACCGTCCAGTATCCTGGATAACATATAAGAGATAGAAAGAGCTGTGGTTGACCTTCTCTTGTTGTTTTGCTACCTTTTGTCTACCGTGAACTGATTCTCCTCTGTAATGCCTGCATATGCTACACTGTCTTGGAGTCAGCCAATTACAGACTGAAATCTCTACAAACTGTGAGCTAAATAAATCTTTCCTTTAACTTTGGATGTAGAGTGTTTGGTCTCAGCAGTGAGAAAAGTAAGGTACTATGTTCCTGCCATCTAATCTTAAACCTCATTCAAGTTTGCTGGTTTCCATAGTGATTTTTTTTTTTTTTTTTTTTTTTTGGTAACAAAAAGCTTAAATGCAGAATT